CCGCTTCCGGCGGCGACCGGCCCCACCCAGCAGCGCGAGGATGGCCGTGCCCCTCTCTCCCACCCCCCCCATGGGCGAGAGCAGCGGGGACGGGTCTCGAGCGCGGGCGCGCGGGTGCACCCCCTCCATCAGGCTCTGTCCCCGGCCCTGAGGCGGACTCGTTTCACCCCTTCCCCGTCCAGGCTGTCGGTTTTCAAGCCCTGAAGCGGCAGTGGCGGCTCGGCTCTGCGGGCACTTGAAAACATGGCCTGAGCCATGCTGCGGAGGCCTCTGGGGCTCCCGAAATGATAACCCGGAGAAGCGTGCGCCCCCCAGTGTGGGCCCTGTGGTGCAGGGGAGCCCAGGGTGGCTGCCCCAGCGCCATGCTTGCCCGTGTGGCCGGAGGAGAGAGTGTGGTCAGCTCGCCTCCATGAGGAGAGAAATCCCACAGAAGTGAAATATTTTAAAATTCCCCTGTCGTTACTCCTTGTCTAGGGGGAATGGAGGCAACTCCATTTCTTAACTTTGAGGCCTTCAGTCGTGAGAGAAAGCAGCGTCTTTCAGCCACCACTGCAAGCGTACGTGGAGGGGTAGGGAAGACGGGCAGGGTTGTGTGGATCCTGTGAAATGGGGTTCACCTTGGATGCCAAAGAGGCCTGAGGGAGTCTGGTGTTGAAATGTTTTTCTTAGCACTGAGTCATGTTCTGTGCAACCTCTAGGGAAGACTAAGGCTGGGAAAGCCCAAGATGACCAGCTGTCAGCTGCACTGCGACTCCATAGACACCACAAGAGGTGTCTATTTGCCTCAGCTTGGGGTCCAACTCCTGCCAAGGCAAGCCACAGCCCTTTCCCACTCTCTTTTGCAGGCAATAACAAGGATGTAGTGGGACCATGCCCTCAGGCCAGGGATGGGAAGGTGTCCAGAACAGCTGAGAGGCAGTTCTCAATACTCACTGCAGTTTGGAGCAATCCTTGGTAGTCTCTAGTCAGGCACAACAGTAAAATTGTTTGTGTGCCTGCCTGAATGATACAGACAAAAACAGAGATCGCTGATTTTACCCCTTAAGAACATTTCTAGCCTGAGGTAGGCTGTTTCAGGAGGGACTGTTTCCATTGAACCAGCTCAGGTGGAGCAGGAGGGAAGACACAAGAATCATTCCCACTGCTTTCTCAACATTGTAAGTCAGCAGAAGAGCCCTCCAGGTGTGTGAGTGGCATATCTTGAAGTGGGTGATGGCTGGCAGACAGGCTGCAGCAGCGGGAGGCTTGGGGAAGAGCACATTTCCCTGTGTGAATTGAGGCTGAAGGGGCTCCACCATGAGAGACATGCAGTTTCAGTCATGTGTAGCACTGTGACTGTGGTGAGGGTGGGAGTTTTAAGTAGTCTTGATTTCCAGCAGTGGCTTGATACTCTTTTAATGGCATCTTTGTGGCAAATATATTAGATTCAGATGCACTTCAGAAATAATTGGCAGTTAATTAACCTCATTCTATGGAATGATGGTTCTTGCTGCAGGGGATCCTGCTGGAGGATTCCTGGTCCCTTTCCTGCAAATCCTGTGTGTTGTTTTTTTACATTTCTTTCTTCCAAATATACAAAGATTACAGATCTTTCCCGTTCACGCAAGGCTCACAAATATTCAGCCATTCAAGCAGACTTAGGTACACAGACAGAACTACTTTTTTTAAAGGTTATATTGGCCAAAGGTAGAAGAAAATGCTAAATTTAGAATCTCGGTCTACAAACAAGTTTCCACATATTTAGCTTTATGTATAAGCTTGGTCTTACTGATGTCTTTGAAGTATTCCTGTGGGTAAAGCGTGAGTGCGTACAAATAATTATAGGAACGGGGCTTCAGTCGGCATTAAAATTAAAAGGAGGATGGCCAGATTTAGTACTGATAAGGGTTTGTTATCTTACCAGTATCAAGAAGAATTTCTGGTGCTGTGGAAATCTGTGTAGAACAGCATTGTCCGTGTCATTAAAAAGCAACAGGCAAGTTTCTCTGCTTTAAAACACGATGTCGCTTTTTCAGCATTGCAGCAGGAGCTTATGCGTATTTAATGACATTCAAGGTTGGAGTCATGCACCGTGATGAGCACAGGCAGACCCTGTCCTTGCTCAGAGCGCCACTGAAATCAGCAAGGCTTGGGGTGTGCTCAGAGACTGCCAGCATATATCGCATTGCAGGACTGCGAATTTAGGAGTCATTTCTGTCTTCTTATATCCCGAAGTGAGTCCTTTTGAGACTAACAAGCAGAATCCGTGTGTGGGTGCGATAGGGCAGAGATCTCAGTGAGGGAGCAAAACAACTTTCCGAAAGATATGAGATAGAAAAGCTGCCACTTTTCCTTGTTTGTACAATGACTAGTCACCTCTTGCAGTTAAAAATGTGCCCTGTTCCTAATTTAAATGTCTGGCTTCAGCTCTTAGTCACTAATCATTGTCATTGTTTGGGCTGGAACACAGACCTGGTGCAAAATACTTTTTTCTTGGTGAAAATATTTGTGCCAGATTCTGTCTGGATATTCCTGTGGTTCTGTTACTGAGCCCCTGCCCTAATCTTGAGCGAGGCAATTGTCTTGCAAATGGTCTGCAAAAAGTGAATAGCAAGATTTACCAAACGAGGCTGCTTGCAGCTAAATTAATATTTATCCAGCATTTTGCAGACCTCCAAAGGAAAGTGCTACCAAAGCTTGTGTGCTTCTTCATTAATATCTGCTCACAGAGACCAATAGCATTATGCAGCACTTGCAAGATGAAACACTGCACCAACAGAGTTTTTGTTGGCTGTATTGATCAAGCTTATTTTTTCCTTTGTTTTATTTATGCTTCTTACACTCAGCAAATCCTCTCAGAAATTACCATGCTGTATTCTCATGCAGCCAAAATCTCCCTGAGAATGCCAGATATCGGTCTCTGAGCCTCATCATCCGTGCACCAATAAATGAATCACATGATTCAGTGACTACCAGATCTACAGCTCCCTCTGTCATATTTAACTCCCATATTTCTCATTGGTCCCTCTCTCCCTCCCTCTCCTCTCTCTCTCTTTGTATATTTATTGCTCCTTATTGCTTCTCTGTCCCCAATGCTACAGGTTATGCACACAGTATTTCTGGTGCCGATCTGTACTGCTGCCTTCCTGGTTTTACTAATATTTTTTTTCCGTAGAAAGAGAAGCAGCATGGTCACTCTGCTGGGCCGCTGGATAAAAGATGAACAGCATGATTGAACAATGTGCCATGGGGAGCAGGGAGCACAAGGCTGTTGTAGGCACTCGGAAACCATATACAATGGGAAGCAATTACAGGATCACCAGCAGAAACCATTGCATCATTTAGTTTCTCTCTCCTGATCATGTGTGAGATACATTTAGGGAGATTATTTTTTTTCTGCCTTGTTTTGCTGATGATGAAGGCTGGGGCTGGAAAGGAAAGTCAGGATTTTTGGCAAGGCTTTGCAGGAGGCGGTATGGAAAAAAGGAGGGTCTCGGGGTCTCTGACAGAGCCAACTTGCCGCGCTTGCTCTGCTCCTACCACAGACCATTACAGAAGGGGATGGTGGAGAGGGTGGCATTGCAAGCCCTCATGCAGCTCCACCCTGAGCTGTCCCCAGCTACCTCTACCAACTTCAGCCTGATGCTTGCCACAGGTGCAGGTGTCCTTATGCTCCTTCGCTCCTTTGCAGGCCATTATTTCCAGGCAGGCTGGAAAGGAGAAGAAATAGAGCAGTAGGGAGAACAAGCATTAAGGAAAGAGAGCTGGAAACAGCAGCTTCTTTCCCCCAGTACCCTCCACAGAGTTGGAGAGCCACCCTGGAGAGCTGGTCCCCCCAGGAGAGAGCCAAATATCACTGCAAAAGAGAGTTTGTACAGAGCTTTAGGCCAGTTGGGCTTTTGAGGGAGGGAAATAGGGTTGTTTCAGCTGTGCCAAAGCATCTGGTTTTGTTGAATTTCGTGATATGCTAAACAAAGTCTCATCTCCTCAAGTCCTAGGATTATGTGAACTTTTTTTTAAAAAAACAACTTTATAACAGAATTATGTTTCTAGATATCATGGCTGCAGGGAGAA